CTGAAAAATGAAATGTCTTACATCATTAACTTTAAATAATGACACAATATTTTTGTGTAATATACAATTGTACACACAGTTTCAATTTACTGTTTTTAGTAATTATACCCATATATTTCGTTTTAACAAATAAATTTTAAAGTTTGAATGTCAAGGTTTTTAATGCCATTTCACTATAATGCTGTGGGAATATTTTATATTTGAACAAATTGTTAAATTGTTGTATAAGTGTCGGCTAAATTTGTTATCTTCTTATACCATCAATGGAAAACCCTTGTCAAGTGGGCCACTTTACATTTTTAAATTTGCAAATTTTTTAATATGCTAACGTGGGTAACCTTTAGCGGAGATTTGGTATTCTGTTGAACGACCTGTCGTGGTGATTTCTCCCAGTGTCTCGATGGTGAACATAATTTTCGATCAATTTTCACGAAAAAGAAGATCTGCGTGCTACAATCGTATGCCTTAGGTGATTTTATACGAATATAAATTATGGATTTCATGAGAGATAACCTAATTTGATGAGGGACCGAAGAGGTGAAATAAACTGTAATGTTAAACAAAATAAACGGTATTTATTATGTACGATTATAATCAACAATTATTGTGTAATTAAGTTCTCTCAAGTTACTGCCGTAGACTTTGTTTGGAAATATGATCTGTACGGTATTAAAGGCGATCTAATTTCAAGAACTGGGTCGCCTCACAATGCTCGGGAGGTAGAAAGTTACGATAGATGGTGTAGACAGGACTCTTGTAACAGATGACTGACTACAAGATATGCGTAAATCCCACAATGCCCCTCTTTGTTTTGAATGCTGAAGGCTTTACGATTCACATAAATATAATACAAAGGTATTGTAGGCGCTCTAGATGTTATTGTGTAGTTATTTCTTAACATTAATCGAACGATAAATCAGCTCAGGTTTTTTTTAAATAAGAAAGCTTTCAATTGCACTAAGTAATGTTTAAAAATAACAATATTACCATCAAATATTTTAAAAAAATGACAGTTCTTATATTTCAATGTAGTCTGTAATTTTTTATTTTTTTTTACTTTTGAAAATGAATTAGAAAAAATTATTGAAAGAGAAGGAAAAACCAATAAAGAATTTTATATTGCAATAACAGTATAAACAAAGCAGTTGCCTTTATATTGTGATTGGTCAAAAAGTTAAACCTGTTTTAAATGGTAATAAAAAAATGTCATCATAATTTAAAGACCAACTCTAGGTAACAGCCAATGCTTGGAAACCTCTTCTTAGAGTCCCAACATTTTCTTTTTATAAATTTGATGAATTGCATTACCAAATTTGCAAATAAAAAAAGACAACATACAACTTTGATTTTATCTATATGGTGCTTTTTGAAGGTTAATATAAATTTAAAAACAAGAAAGTCAGCTCAAAAGATGTTTTTCCTTTTATCAGAGACTTAAATCTTTTTATTAGCAAGTACAGAGTTTTATCTTTTATGATGATCATGTAATCATCATAAGAAGATGTTGGTCCCTCAATTTGAAGAACATTGGTTTATACAAGATACACCTAACAGTATAGCTTGTACCATTCTTTAAGCCCCTTGTGGCTGATGGTTGAGACATCAGAATTGCAGCCATTGTTTATCCCTGCATGATTGTAAGAATTTAAAGTGATTACATGGGTTTTGATTATTTGAGTCTATATAATGCATGTCTTAGCTCTAGCAGGTGAGTTGGTTTTGACCCAGGGTGTTGATTTGAAGTTTGTTACACCCAAGGTTAGCCAAAGTCATAAAACTTTCCTGCTTTGCAATGGTGCCATATGACCTAAACTGTATTGATGCACTGTAAAACTAAACAAACAAATTGCTTACAGCACTTTAAATTTGTTTACTTATTGTTCAAATACAGACATTATTTACTTCTGAAATTGGACTTTGTTACTTGAAGGTATTTTGTAGTGACATGATGTATGTTTTGAAAAGGTGCTAAAGGTAAATTAATATGGTCATGCAGTCTAATGTTGTCTTGGCTTAATACTGCTGGCAGAGAATTCTTATGATAATTTCAAAGTCAAAGACTTTTTTTGTCACATATGATGTCAGTGGATTAACAGAATCGCTATAATTAGATTATAGTGTACAAGTGTTAAAAATATATACACACCCACCACATGTACATTGTCTTGAAACTTGAATGAAAATTTCTCAAACAGCCCTATGTTTATTTGCAGTTCAAATTTAGTGTTCTCAATTGTAAGATAAATAAAGTAAATACTTTATGTCAATACATGAGGGTAATTTCTACCTTAAATAGGCTTATACTTATATAATGTATACTGCATAGGGAAATGTTTTGACCAAACCTTAAAAGATTAGCAGAGCTTCCAAAATATTCCATAATAACCACAGTTGAAAAACAGTTAAAAAGTTTACATTGACATTTAGTGGTTCAAAGCCGAAGGGGGTTGATTGGTCTTTATAAGTTTATTATAATTCCCATTTAAATTCACTTAAAGAGTTTTTGTAGAACATTTTATTTTTTGGGAATGGAAATCATGATGGCCTTGAATAGAAATAAATGTAGCCAAAAATCCTCATGGTTACCACTAGGGATCTAGAAAGTACAAATTATAAACCTATAATTATATATAGGTATACAGCTTATAGCGATTGACAACTTTGAATCATGTACAAAATACATTTATGAACAAATACTGATCATTCATGAACCAATACTAATCATTCATTTATTCATGAATACTATTATCATTCAATCATGATTTATAAAGATAAATATATTTAAATATATACCATATGTATCATGTTTTATTTTTTTTTGCGGGTAATGAAGGAAATCGATTAAAAAGCATATATGAAATATTAAAACATATTCCAAATGAAAAAATACAGAGGTAATTTACATTGTTTTGGAGAGGTAGGAGGGTTGTAGAATGGGTAGAGTGGGTAAAAGGAGAAGTGACCAATCAATGTGTCAAACACCTGTGAAAATAATAGAGAAAGATTTAATTCTTGATATTTGCATGATGAAAAAGGATGTTAAAAATCCCAAATGAAATATAAATTGCAGTTTTACATTGTGCAATCTACAAAATGCTTAAAATGAAAATAACTTGGAAAAAGTGTGATTTTCTTCTGTGGCAGTTGATAATAAAGTATGAAAATTTTAATATGAAATGAATTTAGTAAATTATCACTTACTGGTAATTTTAAAAGATTACATGCGCTTAACACTTCTTTGGATTTTTAACATATATAAGAAAATAGCAGAATGGGCAGAATGAAATTTCGGCACTTATAATTTATATCTTTCTCTGAATTTCAGGGTGAAGTGTCATTTCTAAAGCAGTTCGTTCGTGACATTTGAATAACACTGGACTTTGGCAGGAGTGTTAGCCAGTCATTCATAGTCACTGTTGGAAAACAGAAAACAAACATCAACTGTATAGTGAAGCTATTTTTCAACTTTGACAGAAAAGCAACAGTTTACAGCTTTAGCCAGCATTGTTCGATAATTTGACAGATACAGTATTTGATTGCAAAGATGTCTTGGTGATTTGGTTGTAAGGAAGAAACAGGGTCATCTAAATGATGAGATTGAAGAAGGTATAAACAGAAAGACAAGAGGGTTTTTGTTAAAGCAATGATTCTTAGTAGTAGAAATAATACATGTATAAAACATGCATGGTTCTATCATAATTATTATCAGGCAGGTTTTTCTTCTTGAATTCAGGCTTATAAAGTTTTATATTCATGCTCAATAATGCTCTTACTGCAGAAACCCCTTGAAACCAAAATTGCAGCCACTGCTTATCCCTGGGCGATCATAAGAGGCAACTAAATGGGTTCAAATTACTGGAGAATATGCATCTCTCTAAGAATAGGTGAGGTGGTTTTGACCCCTGGTGTTGTTTTAAATTTGTAGCACCCGAGGTGAGCCAAAATCATCTTTCCTGTTGCATCAACAAAACAAACCCCGGAAATTCTGAATTTTAGAAAAAGGAAAAACAAGATATGAAGGTGTTGGCTGGAGAGGCCAATTACTTGCATGAACAAATTTTGGAAGCAATATCTGGCCAATGTAAATTATTTTTCAAAACACTTGCTGTAGAGTTTATTCAAAGGCTAATAGTTTATTCCATTTGGTGGAACAAATAAGACTGTGCTTTAATACAGGAAACTATATTAATGATTTTTATTTGGCTTTTTAAATTGTAACTGTTTTAAAGTGCATAAATGTTAAGCTTTGATATTGTCAAAATTGTATATTCAAGGCCCATTATGCCCCAGAAATGCTTTTATTTTTAATTTCACAAACATTTTTACTTTTGGTGTCCTGCTATAGTTGAGAAAAGTTACTCATTGTCCAAATACCTGTACCATATTTTGCTTCTGTTTCTTTTTGGTAATTTGTATGATTATATTAATTTACTATTTTGGTTGGAAGTCAAAATACTCCTTTATTTACATTTTGATACTTTTTTTGACAAAAAGTTTACAGTCAGCACTACTTCTTTAGTTAATAAGCAACTAACATGCTGTAAAACTGTTATCTAATATTATTAAAATCATGTTTGTCCTTTTCAAAGATGGAAAAACTTAATTGTTTCTAAGGGACAATGTGCCTTAAAAAGACTTGCCCTATTCTGAAATTTTATCAATGAAATTTTAATTTAAGGGACTTGGACTTATGCATCTAGTTATTTAAACTTTAAAGGGCTTAATTTGAACACATCTAGTTATTATAGCTTAGCATACCCTAGAAGATGTTGCTGTCACCACATCCACAGCTTTTTACATATTTATTTCTAAAACTACAACTTGTAAATAATGGTACGTAAATAAGTGGGGGTGTGGTCACGGGTAACAGCATCCAATAATCAAGCATTCTAATATTGTTTATCTTCCGGGGTACTATTGCATTTTAGTATTTAAAATAAATTCTATACCATAACTCTTAATCTCCCTGTACCATGTATACACTAAGGTAAAATTTATAGATCTCAAAATCAGCACAAATTTAAATGCATTAATGTTGTGTCGGTCAGATATTTTACCTTGCAACGGAATATTAAGGTCTATATATGGATTGTTAAGTTACGACTTAAATCAAGCTTACAGTAGTGGTAAAATATTTTTACCTCTCCGATAGTTTTGTATGTAAAGGTATTATAATCGCCCCGTAGGTATGTATTATGGTTGCCGGTACTGTATTCTTTTGTAATAGTTTTTTCGTAAAGGATGAACTGACGACTTTAACGTGTCGCGTTGTTGGATTTTTTTTTTTGAGGGATTGTCGTTTAACCAGGATATATTTACGTTGTTGTTACCAAAAAATGGAAATTAACCCAGTTTGTTATTGATGTGACATCATAAGTTGACTTAATTTCGTCGGTTTTCTTAAATGTTTATGAAAATACAAAACTAAACAAATTTTTTAGCTGTTACAAAAATATATTTAGAATAGTAAAATAGTGTAACGTAGTGACGATATTCGTAGTGGATTTAGAAGTTATAGCAAGTGGTGAATTGGTGTAATTGCCTGTGAATATTTAAAACTTGTGAGGAATTTATATATTTATCGTAAAAAGTGGATTTTTTTATTACGTACCAGTGTATATACAGATGGACTTTACCTCTAAGCATTTTTGGTATTTATATTTTTAAGTATTTTATAGTTTTATTTGTGTAATCAATAACTGGTATTGATTTGTTTTGTTATCAGCTAAACATTTTATTTGAATACAAAAAAATTAAATGTGAACAAATTAAAGTTGAAATTGTTTGGGGTATTTGAAGTTGTCATATGTGATCATTTAAAGTAATTTCAAACAGTGAAGTTATAAGAAATTTTTGTTGTTATGTTGAAAGAAGAAATGACTAGATTTTTTGGCTAAGATTTTATAGATAAAAATTTTGTCATATTATGTATAGGTCATTGTTTGTAAGTAAGATTTACAAAATGAAATTGGTCAAGAATATTGAAGTTTGACCAATGTAATTTGGTTAATGTTAACTGTAGAACTAGGCTAATAAATAGTAAGTTGATTTACCAAAGTAAACGTGTTACAATTCATTTCAAATGATTTTAAAAACTTACAATAAGGTATATCTTTTTTTTCACAATTGTACATTAGAAATTATTAGTTTAGTTTAAAGGGAGCTTCACCCAGGTCAAAAAACCTAAAAACAAAAAATTTTAATTTTGTACATAGATCCAAGTCAACCTCTTAAAATGGAAAAATCTGCATGGATAATAAAGAAATATACTAAGAATTAAATTGAAAATTGTTTGTTATTGCAATTCTAATCCCAATATGACTGAAAAGGGTTACAACTCTTTTCATTTTCGGTCATTATTATTTTTGTACAAAAAAATGATTATTCTGGAAAAAAAGGGAGAGGGAATGATCTGAAAATTTGTACACAAATAATTTGTTCAGACCTACATCAAATGGTACAAAAATCTTGGAAAAATATTTACAGTAGTCCCTTTAGGCCAAAAATAAAATTATGTTTGTTTCCCCTTCCCTACCCATTAAAATTAGGATTTGGTAGGTAGGACATTTTTTTTTTTATATTTGCATAATAATAAATAATCTGCATAATTATATGTATAATAAACTATTAAAATTAATTTATTAAGTGCACTAGTATATATATGTACATGCATTACAATATTCACAACTGACATAATATTATGCAACAATTTATTAATAAAATGTACCATACTGTACAATTCTTTCATCCCTAAGAACCTGAATAAATCTTTTGCTTAAGGGGCAAAGTTGGGATGGTAGGGAAGGGGGAAACAAATTTTATTTAAGGCCATAAACATATTTATTTATAAGCTAGATTTTGAAACTTTAGTTATAGCAACTTATTTAAAATTATTTTCAAGTCCACTTTCTGGAACTAACCAGTAAAAACTTATTTAAAATGACTTTCAAGACCACTTCCTGGAACTAACCAGCACTGGTGTCATATGTTGGTTCTTAATACTGTTCAAACAGTCCTTTGATATATTGATATTCATTCTGTTACAATGACAAACTTACACGTACATTGATTCTGTTAAATCATCAACCATTCATTGTTTTGAATCCTTAAATGTTACCATAATACTAATACAGAATATATAACTATGATGTGATTTAGAATAATAGCTATGATGTGATTTAGAATATATAACTATGATGTGATTTAGAATATATAACTATGATGTGATTTGATTAAAGCTTTTCTTATTGCTTCTTGAAAAAGTTGGGTTTTTATATCACATAAAATTGTTTTACAATATTTATAGAAGTAGTGTAATTGACGAGTAGTTAAAAAATAGTCACTATATTGTTTTTTTGGATTTGTTGTTTTTGGTATTGACTATTTTATTGGTCGCTTGTTTTCAACAATTTTGCTCTTGTTACAAAGTGTTTCGCAATATCAAAATATTAATGTTACGAAAATTTACATATTGATTACTTTTTCATTAAAGTTCATGATTTATTTATTTATACTGTAAATAAACTTTTAAGCAAACTTCCTGATTAAGTGTTGGAAAGCAATCATGGATACTTGTGCTTTTTTTTTTTAAAAATGCTTCAAGGATAATAAAATATATTTTTTAATAAAAAAATTGAATATCAATTTTTAATTATGAAGAAAGAGTATTATAGCTTAATATTACAAAAGATTTTCAAAATTCATCCTTTAAGATGGAAGGTTTTGAATTTGATCATATGATAAGTTCCGAGGACAGTGTTCAGTATAATATTATACATATTTTTTTAATCAAATTTTCCATGAAACTTACTTTTGCTTATGAGTATATGAACAATATATTCAACATTCTATGCTGACACTATAAGGTGCTGTTATGAATAATGTACATCACAGTTTGATAGTTTAAAATTTTGTTGTCATCATAATATTTTTTTTTTATGATTTTGTTAATTTTGAATTAAAACACTTCAACATTTGACAAAAGACACAAAGGTTTATGTTTGCTTGTTAAAGGTTTTCTTTGCTGAATAAAAGGTTCTTTATTATGCTAAGGTTGAGGTTCACTGTGCTGAGTTAAAGGTTTCCTTTGCTGTTTCTATGTTTTTCTATATTGAATTAAAGGTTCCTTTTGTTGATCAGGTAAATGTTCTTTATGCTGAATTTATGTTTTTTTAAGTTGAATTAATGGTTCTATATGCTGAGTTATAGGTGCTTTATGTTGAATTAAAGGTTCTCTATGCTGAATTAAAGGTTCCCTGTGCAAAATTAAAGAATGTTAAAGGTTCTTCTAGCTGAGTGAAAGGTTCTCTTGTCTTAGTTAAAGATTCTTTTAGTAAAGTGAAAGGTTTTCTTATCTTAGCTAAAGCTTCTCTAAACTGTGTTGAGGGTCCCTCAAGTTGAGTTAAAGATTATCTAAGCCTAGTAAAAGTTTTTTTTAAACTGAGTGAAATATTTATTATATGCTGAGTTTAAGTTACCTATGCTAGGAGGGTTCAGTATTAAAAGATTCAGTGATACAGTTCAATATTTCATCATGAATTTTTACAATCAATATATAAACTGCACCCCTTCCAAAAAAAAACCCTAGACACGTAAAATTCTGAAAAATTTAACCTATAAATATTCAACTGAATTACATGTAACTATGTACTTTTGAAAATACATTATTAATTTAAAATTATTTTCAAATTTCAATATTAGTGTATGAATCAAATGCCTTATATATATATATAAACTTTAAATCCTTCAAAGGTCATTTACCATACAACTGATTGTAATTTGCCAATTTTGAATATACAACAGTTTAAACCTTTGAAATTTTGTATCTTATTTTTTGATGTTCTTAATAATTTATCGATAAAATTTTGTCTATATTCATTAAAGTGTTTATGGTTTGGATAAAACCTTTTTTCGATTGGATTAATACACTGATCGGAATATTGAAGGGGTCTTGTCAAATGCCGAGTGTCAACATATGTCGAAAGTAGATATAATGTAAATATGTATTATAAAAGTAAATAGGCATATTGAATTTGGATAGAATATGACTTTTTTGTACAGTGTGCTGATTTTTTTGGTCTCTTTTTCAGCTTTCCTTTTTTTATCCAAAAATTGCTTTTTTTTAAATTTTGTAATTATACCCCCGCACAACAAAGTTGTAAGGGGGGTATACTGGAATCAGCTTGTCCGTCCGTCCGTCCGTCCGGCTGTCCGTCCGTCCGGCCGTCCGGCCGTCCGTCGGTTTTTTCTTGTCCGCCCAATAACTTAAGATTCCTTTGACCCTTAGTCTTCATATTTGGCATGGAGGTTAGTCATGATTAGTAGATGACCCCTATTGATTTTGAGGTCACTAGGTCAAAGGTCAAGGTCACAGGGGCCTTGACTTCAAAAAGCTTGTCCGCCCAATAACTTAAGATTCCTTTGACCTACAGTCGTCATATTTGGCATGGAGGTTAGTCATGATTAGTAGATGACCCCTATTGATTTTGAGGTCACCAGGTCAAAGGTCAAGGTCACAGGGGCCTTGACTTCAAAAAGCTTGTCCGCCCAATAACTTAAGATTCCTTTGACCCACAGTCGTCATATTTGGCATGGAGGTTAGTCATGATTAGTAGATGACCCCTATTGATTTTGAGGTCACCAGGTCAAAGGTCAAGGTCACAGGGGCCTTGACTTCAAAAAGCTTGTCCGCCCAATAACTTAAGATTCCTTTGACCCACAGTCGTCATATTTGGCATGGAGGTTAGTCATGATTAGTAGATGACCCCTATTGATTTTGAGGTCACCAGGTCAAAGGTCAAGGTCACAGGGGCCTTGACTTCAAAAAGCTTGTCCGCCCAATAACTTAAGATTCCTTTGACCCACAGTCGTCATATTTGGCATGGAGGTTAGTCATGATTAGTAGATGACCCCTATTGACTTTGAGGTCACCAGGTCAAAGGTCAAGGTCACAGGGGTCTTGACTTCAAAAAGCTTGTCCGCCCAATAACTTAAGATTCCTTTGACCCACAGTCGTCATATTTGGCATGGAGGTTAGTCATGATTAGTAGATGACCCCTATTGATTTTGAGGTCACCAGGTCAAAGGTCAAGGTCACAGGGGCCTTGACTTCAAAAAGTTTGTCCGCCCAATAACTTAAGATTCCTTTGACCCACAGTCGTCATATTAGGCATGGAGGTTAGTCGTGATTAGTAGATGACCCCTATTGACTTTGAGGTCACCAGGTCAAAGGTCAAGGTCACAGGGGTCTTGACTTCAAAAAGCTTGTCCGCCCTATAACTTAAGATTCCTATGACCCACAGTCTTCATATTTGGAATGGAGGTTAGTCATGATTAGTAGATGACCCCTATTGATTTTGTGGTCACCAGGTCAAAGGTCAAGGTCACAGGGGCCTTGACTTCAAAAAGCTTGTCCGCCCAATAACTTAAGATTCCTATGACCCACAGTCTTCATATTTGGAATGGAGGTTAGTCATGATTAGTAGATGACCCCTTTTGATTTTGAGGTCACTGGATCAAAGGTCAAGGTCATAGGGACTTTGACTTCAAAAAGTTTGTCCACCCATTAACTTAAGATTCCTTTGACCCACAGTCTTCAAATTTGGCATGGATGTTGATCATGACTATAAGGTGACCCCTATTGATTTTGAGG